ATATATTATACAATTGTATGTCAACACATTATTTATTACCTTAAACTGTCTGGAATTATTATTAAAAGGTTGCGCTTGCGTAAAATTTACTATCATGGAAATTCAGCTTTTTTGCCTTTTGGCTAATCTCATCCCTGTAAAACGATTGTGAAGAAGAAAACACTTTTTTTTCTACATTACTTTAAAATTTCAGGGGGGGAAATTTATTTTAACCTCAAAAAATTTAATTACATTTGATCTGCATTCATTTTTATTTTACGTACTTAATCATTTTTCCTGCGTTTGAGATTTTTTGCGTTTTAGATTTTGTTTTAATATCAAACCTTCCCCTGTGGCAGAATTTTTTCGAGCTGTCTGCGACTAAACTTCTTCGCATTTTTTAAATAATTATCACAATAGAAAATATTATTAAAAATCATAAAATCCGTAGTAGTAATTGCCAAAAAAAAGATAGACGATGAAATCACGCGAATCGGGCTCCTCAAATGCGTGTTTCCTTTCGAGATTACGCTGTTGTAATAAAAACTATGCAGAAAGCGATGGATTTAGAAAAAGTGAATACTCAAACGCACAATTTGAATTTTCCATATTGTTTTAAATATACGTGATATTTAAAATGTACACGAAAATCAATATGAATAACTGCCGAAAATACAATCGTTACATCGATTAGCAATTCTATTGTCGTAAATTGAGCACGTCAAAAAGCGATTAAATGCACAATTCAAATATTACGTGTCAATTTCTGTAGAAAAGACTTTTTTAAAAAAAAAAAAATAATAATTTTAAGAAGAAAAATCTTTCTGCAAGAACTCTGTAACGTTCTGCGACGATATCGCTGCGATTCTGCCCCGGGGAAACCTTCTTTCAATATTATCTGAATTTTATTGTAAGTCAACTTCAAAAACAGTTAAAAATTTAAATTGCCTTAAGTAAATAGTTTTGAGTAAAATCCATGCTCTCTATTAATTTAGATTTTATTTATCAATTTATAATTTAACTTTAATACACATTTAAGTACGGTAAAGCACTTAATGAACTTGTATTATAATAGAGTTGCATACTTAAGATCACTAATGCTAAAAGTGTCACAAAAAATACTTATTATTATTTTTCCGTGCTTCTTTCAGCATGTTAAAAATCTAGAACACTTATATTAAAAACGGCTATCAACCCTTTTACGCCTAACAGGACACATACGTCCCAAGCAAATTTCAAAATAAATCTTTTGGGACAGAAACACTTCTCTGTCTAATTGGAGACTTTCCCACCAGTCCTGCTAATTTTTTTTAAGTTATTTTCATTCACAGAACATAGATGGCCCTACTGTACATAATGCTGCCCTACTCATAGTTTATGCTACTAAAATTGTTCTGTTAAAGAAAAAAAACGTCGCGAAAGGGTCAAGTGTATCTTTGGCTATAAGAGTCTCTTGTCCTTTCAAACACGAGAAGCAAAACTTACTTAATCTTTTCTCTGGACCATTGAGTCAATCCATGATATTTGCTATTAGGCAAAACAACTGTTTGTTTTTCAAACTTATTTTTAGTTATTCAACATATTATTTCAATTTATTTTACATATTGAAATAAAAATATATTTACAACTAAAAAAAAATTTTCGTTCTATGTTCGTAAAAAAAAAAAATTCATTCTTTGAAATTTTCAAAACAAAGTTTTAGAAAATTTTTAAAAAAACCAGCTTCCATACTGCAGTTTTTAATTTATGTATGTTAAATACTGATCTTATTATTTATACATCCATACAGTATGAGTTTCTCTTATGTCTGTATCTCTATATCAATATGGTTTTTATTTTATGTGTATTTTAAGCATTTTATTTATCATAAATTTTTTTGTTTTTTTTTAACTAGTCAGCAGCGTAAAGGATATCGTATTCCAGAAGATATTAATCTGAGCTGAATGAAATCTTGTGTCATATTTTACGTGCATTTGTATTGGTTGTGGAGTTACATTTTTTTACTTTTGTATTATGCCTTTTCTCAATTTGATTTTTTTTTATTGTCTATGCAATTTGAATTAAATAACTTGAAAAATGTTTTTTATTGTTAAAAAAAAAACAAGCCATGCAATAGTTTATCATTGTTACGTATACACTCCTCATCATATAATATGAACAGAAAATTATACACTAAATATTTTTCAAAAGATTTGAATCATAAATTTTTTATCTAATTAGCTTTTACATTTTATACAAACAAAAACTTGAACTTGTAAATCTTGTGTACAGTTTTTAATGCTGTAAAAATTAATTTACTGTGTATTGATAAATATATGTATATATTTGGTGCAGGTATGTAAGAATGCATCAAAACTCAGTCTCAATTAAAATTACCTGTAAATGTGGGTCTAAAAACAGGATTTATTGTAAGTTTTTTGAACTGGTTCCCCAAATATTTAGTGTAAATTAAGCTTAAAAATTTGAAGTTCTGGATTTAGCGTTTTCAACTAAAAAATTTTTAAAAAATATTGAGTATGATGCCTTCAAGCAAATTTTTACTTCACTCCTGAATATGTTTTCAAATTCTGAATCACTGAAGTTTATTTTGTATAATGATTGATTTTAAGTGTTATTAAAATCAACTTTAAAAATTACGACAAAAAAAAAAATATAAGCTCTGCATATTTCCTCTCATTTTGCATTTATTGATCATTTGATTGTAATTGACTTCTGAGATAAATTTATACCATCTATTTGTTAAATTTATAATTTATCGATTATTTACCATTTCACACATTTTATTTATAATTAATTCATGTATAAATCGATAAATTAGCTTGCTTTTATTCCACTGACCATCAATATGATGTAATTAAATTTTTTCATGAATAACTAGACAATTTGTTTATTTTTCTACTGTTACATTATTTGTTTTATTCAGTTTATACTTACATTTTTCATTTATTGTGTCCAGTGATTGTGCATTTGTATTTTAATCTTGATCATTGTAATAAAATTGTTAAAACTGTCATCTGTTTATTTAATTCACACAGAGTGTAGCCAATTTATTTTACTATCTTTTGTTATAAGTTTTATCTTAGCTTGAAACTATTTCTGAGAAACAAATTTTTTAAAAAAATTAATTTTTATTTTTAACAAGAGTGCCATAAGAGGAGAATATAATTATATATTTTCTCACATAAAACTGTTTATCAAAACTATTTGTATTCTAACAGGGTGCGTAGCGTTTGTAAAAAGTACTTAAAGGTGCTTTTTTGGGGATTTCGTTTTTAAAAGCTTTTAAAGGTGATTTTTTCAGCAGTTGTTTTTAAAAAGTGCTTTTTTTTTCGGATAATTTTTTTTCCCTTCAGTGATATCTGGTGGATCCCATCCATGCCATGGGTGTAAGTTGGAAAAAAGGCTAGGACTGAAATTTTTTTGCCTGAAATACCTAACATACACAATACCCCCTGGACATATGCAAACTATCTAAAAGCTTTACCATAATACATCAAGCTTAAATACTGTACAAAAAATATCTATTCATCTGTCTTTTGATAAAATAACAACAGGGCATAAGAAAGTAAACCAAAAAAATATTTTTAAGGACAGAAAATAAAATTTCCGTCTTTGAGTCGGTCTTGTTTCCTTCCGCGGACATTTTCGAAAGACGGAAGACTTGCACCCATGGATTTCACGAAAAATGGGGAGTTGCTCCGAGTGCTCCAATTCGGATAGAGAATATCAGATCCTTATGAAATGTTTTTCTTTTTAATTTATTTTAAGTTTGTTCTTGTTTATTTTATTTTACTTCTAACACTTTTTTTGACGTAGGGGGTAAGGATACTCTTGTTCTGAGTTCAGGGTCAAGTTGAATTCACTTGGTGTTGTGGGAAAGTACTGATTGTTTCGATTTACACCCGTTTCTTTCTGGGGTTTTTTTTTAACGCTAAAACTGTTTATAAAAAGTTTTTGTTTTTCAATAATATCATTGATTGAGTGCTAGAAAAGTTTTTAAAAAGTGCTTATTTTTTATTCAAAGATTTGGCTACGCACCCTGTCTAAGCAATGGTCTTTTTTTAAATATTCATTATTAAACTTCAAGTGTGGCTGAAATTATAGTACAATTCCCCTAATTTATTCACAGAAGTTATTACGTTGAAATATTACACTGAATTATCAAAAAACAGCTGCAAATCAACTTGGGGGAAGTGAAATTTCATTTGCAAGCTAATTTACATGAGTTCATCATTTAATGTTATTTTTTACATTATTACATAAGAGAAAANAATTTCTGCTGCTTTTTAGCGCATTGTTCTGAGTTCAGGGTCAAGTTGAATTCACTTGGTGTTGTGGGAAAGTACTGATTGTTTCGATTTACACCAGTTTCTTTCTGGGTTTTTTTTAACGCTAAAACTGTTCATAAAAAGTTTTTGTTTTTCAATAATATCATTGATTGAGTGCTTGAAAATTTTTTAAAAAGTGCTTATTTTTTATTCAAAGATTTGGCTACGCACCCTGTCTAAGCAATGGTCTTTTTTTAAATATTCATTATTAAACTTCAAGTGTGGCTGAAATTATAGTACAATTCCCCTAATTTATTCACAGAAGTTATTACGTTGAAATATTACACTGAATTATCAAAAAACAGCTGCAAATCAACTTGGGGGAAGTGAAATTTCATTTGCAAGCTAATTTACATGAGTTCATCATTTAATGTTATTTTTTACATTATTACATAAGAGAAAATAATATTGAAGTTAGTAATTTACAAAATTCCTATATACAACTCTCATGTGAAAAAAGATGTGTTTGATAGAAATTTCTGTTATTAAATACAAATGCATTTCAATGTTTTTGAAATTTATGTCACATACTACAAAAAAGAGAGGTATCAACTTTTATCTGTATAAATGACATTTATGTAACCAAAACTATCCTAAAAATATGAATACATTTGTTGTGGTAATTTTCAAGAAATTCTTTGAAAACTTCAGATAATAAATTCAATATTTTTTTACAAAGAATTAATATGAGTGTAACATATAAAAAAATAGTTGCATACATAATAAATGCCAAAAGAAATTTTCTATTCAAATCAAATAACTACCTGTCCACCCTTAAAGTAGTAATATAGGCCGTCTTGTAGAACAATTTTCTATTTAAAAGGTAATAAAATTATAGTAATAGATGCAGTAATTTGATGTGATAAAGACATCAGAGATATAAATCTAGTGTCTTAACCATTCAGCAACAAATGTACAGTACGCAAAAACAAAAAAAAACGGACCAATCTGAATATCTAATGATTGGATTATGTTCCAGAACTCATAAAGGGTAACTTCAAATATGCTAATTAATAAGTGCAGACAATATTTTAAGTTATTAAATCAGATATTAAAAAAAAAAAAAAACTATCTCTGAATAAACATACTTTTTTTTCAAGAGATTCAGATTCCTGACCACCAGAATATAGGGGCCAGTCGCTATCTGGGAATAGAAGCCCTTAATGTTAATTTCACTTTTTGCATATTTCGCGAAATGTGGAACTGTTTAAACGAATTGAAAAAATAAGTTCACACAATCCTAAAATTAGTTTATCCAAAGATAATTCCACGCAAAAAATAACTTTTAATAAGTATTTATTATTTTATTAAAGAATGGTCGAAAAAATTTTGAATTGTAAGGTGTACAATTTTTTGCATCATTTTAAAGAATGCAATTTTATATGGCAAAATTTGAGCCAAATCAGTCGAATAAGTTCAGGAACTTTTCGATCAATTTTGCTCAAATTTTTTATTTTGCCATACAAAATTACAATGATGTAAAAAATTTAATATAACTGTATTCTAAATTTTATTATTATTTAATAAATTATTCAATATTTACTTTTTGCATGGATATTTGGATAAACAAATTTTATCATAGTGTGTAAAAAAATTTGAGTTCGCTTAAAAAGTTCTAGTGAGATACGTAAAATTAACATTAAGGTGTCCATACTTAGTTGCAGTCTCCTGACCAAATTATTGGGGGTAAAAAATCCGAATCCCTCAACAACAACAAAAAGGTATATTTATTCAGAGAAAGTACGTTTTTGTGTCTGTTTTCACAACTTAAAATACCATCTGCACTCATTAATTAGCATACTTGAGGTCATATCATTACCCAAGAGCCACCAGTTACAGAATATTTTTACCTCAACCAGGCTCATCTTAATCTTGTCTTTGTTTCAATAAAAATCATTACTCTATTTTATAAAAAAAACTTAAAGTATTTTATAAAATGTAAAAATTCTCTTCCTTTAATTACTCATTTCAATTACAAGAGAAAAATAAATATTTTCAAGGGGAAAATTTAAACTATTATTATTAATATTCTTTTCTTTAACATTTTTCAAGCTAAAAATTAATGAACAATTTTTTAAAAAAACATATTCTTAATTAAGATAAAATTACTGATTTTTATGATATCAGATTGAAGATTTCACGTTAAAATTAATAGTCTTTTAATATGCATTTAAAATAAATTTTAAAAATACATCTTTAGCCATTTAGAAATTAAAATTATAAGGTCATCAGCTGGGATCTGATGTCTTGACCATGAATGTACATCCTTCATGCACTTTAAATTTAATATTAAATGAACTAAAATTTTGAGGGGTCATATCTTAATTCAAGGGTCACAATTGCAGCATATTTTTATCTCCAACCTATGTTTTGATTATGCTCTGTATTTTAAGCATGGCTTCATTTTAACTGCAATTTTACAGATGCATGTGCCTTCTAGTAACATTCATAAAATAAAACTACAGTACAGCCCCGATTATCTGAGTTTCCACTTAAACCAAGCAATCAAATATTTCAAGGATTTTTTTTTGTTTTAGTTAATCTTTAAAACTACCGTCGAAAAAAAACTGAATTTTATCTTCCAAACACTCAGGAAAACGAAATCCAACAACTTGATCCGATGAAATTATCATTAATATCGTCAATAATGAAAATGAATCAATCGAAGATGATGAAGACAGTGACGATGAAAACCAACGTATAAAAATGTCTCATACAGATGGATTAAAAGCTACGGAAAGTGCTATTTAATATACAGAAGAACAAGAAAATTCGACATCAGCCTTCCTGTTATCCCTAAAAAAATGGTGAAACATTGCTGTAGAAAAGTGCCAAAGTCATGTAAAACAAAAAACGATTAAGTACTTATTCAAGTAAAAATTCTTAATTCTGGTAAAGTATGCTATTTAAGAGTTTTAAGTATGCTTTTTAATTTTTTTTGTATGTGGTGTACTCGTATAAATTTGGAATTTGTTAAATATATTACATTTATACCTACTCTTTTCTTTCCTTCGCTTTGACCGAGTTTTTCTGTTATGCGTGGTTCACATTAATTCGGATGATTGGAACTCTACTGTATTTATAGCATAAAAACTGTTACGTTAAGATAAATGAAAAAAATAATGAAAAATTATTTAAATTAAAAAAAAAATTTTTAGAGCACTGATATAAACTAATTTCAGCATGTTAAAAAAATAAAATACACAAATATACAGGTTACACACCTTGTGGCAAAATAAAAGAAGTTTCNAAAAAGAGGGGGGGGGGGGGGATTTCTGCGACAAACCTCTCTGCAAGATACTTTTAATAATAACACATATGCAAGTTATTAATTAAATTTAAAGTAACAGAAACGTGTTTACAAAAAAAAAAAACTATTTGGATAAAATAAAATTGTATATTTTTTCAATATGGATATGTAATATTTTTTATTCTAATATCATGAGCGATATACTCACATTTTGTAAGAGGAAAACTCACTAATTATTTCCTTTTTCGCAATTTTATAAATCATCTCATCAAAAAAAATAACAATAAAAATTAAAATCAAATAATAAATAAGAATAGAAAAATCATGAGCATTTCTTTCCCATCTGATATGCGAAAAAGGCTTCTTTTAAGTATAAATTTAGAGCAACAAAAAAAATTTTAAATTTCTGCAGAAAAGAAAACTAAAATTTTTAACTTTCTAAAGGAAAATTCTTTCTGCAAGAACTGTGTAGCATTCTTCAATAATGTCGCCGTGATTCTGCCACGTGGTTGCACAATTTTAAACAGATCTTTATTAAAATGGACTATTTTTGTCAGTTTCAAATTTCTCCAATCGAATTAAAACAACAAATTTACTACTACTTTAAATTGCATTATTTCAAATCTCTCTTAAATTATATTAACACTACTTTAATTTTTTTTATCAAATTAAAGAAAAATCTTTAAATATCCTATTTCTCGATCTAAATAAAAAATTATCTATTAAAAAACCATAATAATTGAATACAAAGAAACTGAAAACCTTGTATATTTATATAAAAATAATGTACACAAATACAGGGATCTGTCTAGGTTTTTCTGAGAGGTACCCATTTCTTAAAAATTTAGACATGATTCATGAGAATTAAAAATTATATTAAAAAATCAACTCAAAATATGGATTTATCACTTCTTATGGGATACAAAAATAAAATTTTAAGAAAAAGTATTTTGCGGAAACTACCATTTTTTCTAAAGTTGAATTTGTGAAGGTACCGCTAAACGGTAGTAAATTTGGTCTGGGCAGACCCCTAAAATAGATTATGTTAGAGAATAGAAAATATTTTTACAATTAGATCAAATATATTGATCTAAGTAATAAAAAAATAAAAAACTCAATATGCTCTGAATTTATGATATAATAAAAAATAACTGAAATTGATTAGAAATCACAAGTAGATAATATTAAGAGTAAAGAAATGTATCATGACAGGTTTGTTTTTTTAGAATAAACCATCGAAGATAAAGCTTCTTGCAGTTTAGAAGAGAAATATTCTAACTGCTTATAACCAATTGAAATTCTTTCTCGATTCTCTGACTTCTTGCAAAAATCTTCCAAACCTCTTGCATTAAACTGAGTAGTGTCTAAAGGTTGAACATCTATCTGTAAAGAAGGAACGAAGTTTTTGAGCATGTTATGAAATTTTTTATAAAACTTTGGACCAGGAGGAGTTATGTTTTCTTTTATCTCAACAGCTTTTCTCATTGTTTGTTTTAGTTGTTGAACACTGGGATACAAATTACACATAAGACGATCAAATTCAGCTTCGCTGGGTATCACAGGTGGTTTATCATACAGAAAATCATGTTTAACACCATAAAAATCCATCACAACTCCGCATAAATGATTCATAATAATCCAATTATATTCAAAAACTTTGAGATTTATATCTGAACAGGATTCCATAAAATTGTTTTCACTGATTGTAGTCATTCTTGCACCAAGTAGTAACTGCATAGATATTGAACGACTATCACGAATTGTCTCGACAGGTACACTCATATTTGGTTTTCTTTTTTGCACAATGGAAAAAAAATCTTCAATAATGGCTAGAATTGTCATACATTCATCATTTACAAATGAAAATCCACCAACAGAATCAAATTTAGTCCCCAAATACTTTAAATTACATAGAGTTTGCTCTGTGAAATAATGAGAAAATACTGAGTCCCAGTATTTATTAAAAAGGCACAGCTGATCTGATAATTTGAATACATCATTCCTAGAGTCCCTCCAAACAAATCCTATTGCATCATCTAGCTCAGTCGGTAAATAAACGGACAAAACCTTTCTTAGGGACATACGAGCCTTACGCATTATATTATAGATTTTTATTCCTCCTTTTGGTTCATAATATTCTTGTTTAACAACAGGCTGAAATGACTGTTCCACGATTGCAGCTTGATGTGATGTGGGATTCATAACAATATTGGTAGTAGCAGTTAAATTTTGTGTTACAGTTGAAACTGCTTTTTTTGTTGGAGTGAAAATTGCATTTTTCGTTATAGTTAAAGCTGCATTATTAGCTAGAGTTATTGCTGCGTTTTTCACAGGAGTTAAAACTTCCATTTTGATGAGCAACGGATTATTAGGTGAAGTTGAAACCTTATTAGTGGAAGAAGAAACTGTTTTTTTAACTGACGGAACATTGAATTTTTTCCAAAATGACTTAATATCATAAGCAGATATATCACAAATCAGAGATTTGTTGGCTAAGTTAATGTCATTTGTCAATAGAATTACTTTATTAGGAGGCATCTTATCAGCTAGACTCATACAGCACTCTAAAATACGATCATCATTGCTGCGACTATATTCTTGAGACCAATCTTTTACTTCTTTTGGAGACTGGCCGTGAAACCGTGGGTCTTTAGATTTTATTTTTTTATTTATATATTTAGCCCCATCTATAGCAGCAAATTTAAGTTTCGGATCCCGTTTTAAACCATCAAGCTCTTGAATCACCACCCAAGGAATAAAGATATGCGGAGGACCACAATTTTCCATATCATGATCTATAATTACACCTATCTGCTTCAAGTTATGAATAAATATATTTGTGTCTACGATAATATAATAACTAGCATTTGTTGGTAAATCCTCTATAAGTTGCAAATCTTGTGTCACATCTAGCATTTCAAAATCATCCACCTCATGTAAATTTGAATCGGTGAATTCGATTGGCCGTTTCAAAGATATTATTTTACTAGGACTATTCCCGTTAGATACAGATGCCACCATATTGTTTTCGGTTGTTCTATTGTAATTTATTCTTTCAACTGTTTCAGTTGCAGCAATATCCAAAGAAACAGAATTAACACTACAAGTCAGTGACTTTGGTGGTGTTCGATTTTCATAGTCAATAATATCATAACTATTTTCTGAATAATTATTCAGTGTGGTACAAAATGTCTTGTCTGTGAATCTGTTATCTAATCCTTCACTGCTACTGTGAAAGAAGTCATTGGAACAGTTAACATTTTGTTTATTAGATTCATTAGAACAAAGAAATGAAACACCTAAGTTATTACTTTTCTTACGAGGAGGGTCTAAGGATGGACATTCCCAAGTTGAATCTCCTGTAACAGCGTTAAAATAATATATAAGGTCAGGATGCTTGTTTGACGTCCTAACAACCCATCCATGAGGCAAAGATCCTTTACGCTTAATATTCTTCGCCATTCTTTAATTAATTAATTTCTCATTACAATTATAAAATAAAAAATAACCTTATCATATCTTAACACTTCGTTATCCATAAAAAAAATTATAATTCATTTTGATATTTAAAATTTTGCGTACCCATTAATGTTTGGAATTCTATATATTTTGACTACCTATTTCTGCCCCATTAAGAACGTTTACAAAAAACTATCAAAATCTGCATTATTGCTGCTGTTGTTAATTTACTTCGCACTATGTTGTTGCTGTTAATTTACGTCACACTAGAGCTGCACAATGGGCTATTGGCGACGGTCTGGGAAACATCCCGGAGGATGATCCGAAGACATGCCATCACAATTTTGATCCTCTGTGGAGGGGATGACACCCCCGCTTCGGTAGCGAAGCGATTGATAATTGTCCTAGTAGTCGATTCTAAAAGACGAACTTCATTGGCTGATTCTGTCGTCGTTCGACTTGAATACTGATTTGGGTCTACTAGATTTGGCTCAAAATTGTTTTTAGAATTCAGTGATTTTCGTCTGCAAGTTTATCTGCATAACAATTAATGAATTTCGTTTTAAAAATAATCTTCAACTACAGATGAAATAATTCTATTATTTGTAAACATATTTTTATACAGGAAAAAAGGAGAATAATTACAGTTGCGAAGTATTGGCGATCGAAATGTGCTGCAGGTGGCGTAGAGCAGAACTCTCTACCTATGGCAACACTTCACATACTTTCCCCATAGCGTGTGGAAAGTCATAGAAGAAGGAAGTACGCTAGTTTCTCTCTTAATTTTCATATAGATTAAAATCTTTTAAGTTTGAAAACTATGTGGAACCAGTCTTCTCCCCAGATGGATATTTACAATTGTAAATGCTGTCTTCAAAATATACTAGAGATTCTAATTATTTTTGATGAAAGCGGACAAAGCATTTGTATGAAACACTTACGCAATATTCGATTACCTAAGTTAAAAAAAAAGAGGGATTTAAACAATTATTTTCCGTTTTATAAAAATTTGGAATAAGGTACCTGCAAGCAACATCAAGCGTGGATGTCGAACCTGATTTGCTGCAGAATCCTGATATTCCTTAATGGACCCCTGTTCAATATAAAAATTATCAAATACATCTTTTTTCAACAAAAAGGAAAAAAAACGCATACATAATTTCACACATTTTTTTTTATCTCAGACAAAAATATCTAAAATAATGCACAAAATGCTGCCTTCAAAATGATTTTCAAAATTAAAATACACGAAATTTTTTCGCAAAAAAAAAGTCTTTGCATCTTTTATCGTAACAGAAACTAATTACTATAAGGAATTACAGGTTGAAATTTTAGAAAAATTATTTTAAAAACTTTCTTTGTGACTTAGCCTCGAAAAAAAAAAGGTTCAATATTTTAACATTCATTATTTCAATGAATGTAGAAATGACCGGTACAAAAAACAGACAAATATTTTAAACCAATTTTTATTATCATTTTTAAAACAGTTCTGCGTCGGAAGAACTTTTCAAAAATTAGATTGCCTACTCTTTTTTCTTACACAAAACCGTAGCTTTTTTGCTTGAAGATTAAAAAATCAGCATAGATGAAGTCAACTAAAGATTAAATAGACTTAATCTAACAATCATATAACACTTTACTCACAACAGTAAGAATCGCGCATTATTCGATTAAAAGTGCTGTTTTTCTCCACGAAAAGTCTTAACAGAATCTTAATCATCCCTTCTCACATTTCACAAGACTAAAATAAAACTGTAATTGTGCTAAATTTATATCAATTTTAATAATAAAGAACCTTACTTTTTAATAACATAAAGGCCGAAAAAAAATATATATATAATTTTGTTTGATATTATGTATTTCCAAGGGTGTGGCAGGAATCTAATATTCAAGACGACGAGATTAAATAATAATCATATTAGTTTTTCTCATAAAATAAAAAAAATTCTTAAATGAACTAAACACCAGCAAAAAGATAAATTATTTAAAGTTGCAAATTATAATTTGCATCTTTAAATGTATATAATATTAAGGGGTACTTTTACAGATTTCTAATTATTGAGAGTGGCATATGTAACAAACAACTTCCATGTTTCAATTATAGTTTCTAGACTACTTTAAAAAGCAGGGGCGTAATAAAAGCGGGTAGAAGCCCTGATCCAATTCCTCGATTAGATGACCAAAAAAAAGAAAGGAAAAAAAGAGAGGAGTGTAAGTAATCACTAGAAATTAACTAAATTAAAAAATAAAAATTTTTTTTTTCAAAAATAAAATTCCGCGTTTGAATTAATTTTCATATAAATCTAAAAAGAAATTATTTTAAAGTAAAACATTATTTCTAATAGATTCTTAAATGCAAAGATATAAAAACTTCAAGCCTTTTTTCCTTAAGCCTAATGTAATTCAGTAATAAAAATATCTATTTTAACCCATAATACATCCATATTATTATTATAATTCTACCAGGTGGGAAGTAAACTTGCAATATTTCCGGATCTATCTTTAAATGTAAGTTTCAGGGATGAGAGTAATCAGAAAGAAAAAAAGAGGAAATAAAAAAAAAATTATATATATATATATAAACAAAAATGTGACAAAAAAAGTGCGATTTTTAAACTTGTAAACCATGTGATTATAAATCCCTATATGAGGCTTTTAAATCACGTGAATATGAAACTCTACATCGAATTTAAAAAATGCGAAAATACAAATCATGATTTTTTAATTTTTTGATCACGATGCATAATTTTTAAATCGCTCGATATTACAACCACAAAAACGAATCACGATATTGGATTTTAAGCTCGCGTGAATACGAATTTATACATAGGGCTTTAAAAGCTCGCAAATACAAATCGCGATATTGATTTTTTAAATCTCGTAAGTAAGAATCGCAATGTACAATATTTAAATCGCCTGCATAAGAATCGCAACGTTCAAATCAGGTAAATACGAAAATCGAGATTTGATAATAAAATCGCGATTTTAAAAATGCTTAAATACAAAACACGATATTGGATTTTTAAATGTCGTAATTAAGAATCATAATATACGATATTTAAATAGCGTAAATAAGAATCGCAATGTGCAACTTTTAAATCAGGTAAATACGAAAATCGATGATTGATATTAAAATCGCGTGAATAAAAATCGAGATCTGAATTACGAAAATACGAGCTATCCAGCCGACGGATAAAAAATACGGAAAATCTTATTTTCTGTGCGTGAAATCGGAGAAAATAGCTAAAATAAGTAAAAATGCGGAAGGGTTAGCAGCTAGGGCGTAGATTGAATTTTCTGTTTATCTTTGAAAATCGTAAATAAATATAATTATTTTACTTCAATGACTGAATTTAAAAAAAACGGGATATTTATTTAAAAAAACGAAACTTTTAGAGAATCGGAGTTTTTGATAAAAAGGCTGAAATTCGAGAGACAAAAAAAATCTCATCCCTGTATAAAGGTCAACCAGTTTTATCCCAAGGAAATGATTTTTAGAGAAACTTCAGAGGGAGGGAAAGGGATTTCAATAATTTCCCTCCGCGGAAAATTAAATTCCTCATAAAATATTTTAACTTGTGCAAAAAGCGGAAGTTTCAGCGGAAAAAATCTGAAAAAAAGCGGAAATCCGCGAAAGAATCTTATCCCTGAAGTTTAAATTTTTTTTGTCATTAGTCGTAGATTTTAAGTCCCTCTTTAGAAGGAGTTTCGGAAGGTTGACACTTCTTCTTTGCTTAGTCTAGGTACCAACTAAATTTTTAAAAAAAAATTAAGTAAACTAAATTGCTTTTTTAAAGGCATTTTTCTTATAAACTTTCAATCTAACCAAATGATTAAAAACTAATATAAAATTGGTAATCATTTTTAGGTACTCGAAGTCAATAAAATTGTTTTCAATTTGCCCAGTTTTAATTCAAAGAAGAATTTCTGCTAATTAAATTTTGCTCAATATTTTGAATAATTTACCATGTTTTTCCCTCCTCCTTGTAACTTACATAGTATTTCTACCATTTCTTTAAAACCCTGCATTATTGAGTGAATATTTAACTCATGAGTGAAGGGAAAGAAGGTAGCGAATGTATTAGACAAACAAGTTTGCAAATTTTACACTTTATGAAGGAGGTAATTTCTAACTTGGTAGAATTCCTACATTACTTTTATCAACTATAATAGACTTTTTGCATGAAATTAGCATTAAAGAGTGTAATATTTATCTCCAGTAATCGAACGTTTTGTTGACACACATGATTTTTCTAGTTACTTTCAGAGTATTGAAATGTGAAGGAAAAAATATATCATAAAAAAAATACTACGCACAGAAATTATTTCCCTTAATTTATTGCAAGCATATCAGAGAAGTTAAGGGCAGTGCCTGATTTGTCACAAAAACTGTGAGGTCTAGGCCTCCCTTACTTCTGAGGGCCCCCTAAATATTATTTCTTTTGTGATTTTAATTAAGAATTGTCTAGAAGAATTTTAATTAACAAAGATTGAAATAAATATAAGCTCTAATTTACTAATTTATCGTAGATTACTTTAGAAACACTTCATAATTAAATAATAGATGAATTTTGTTTAAAGTAAAGATCAGGCCCTGGTTATGGAGTTACCTTGTTTAAGTGTGGTTGAGAATTTAAGAGGTAACTTTTTAGACTTTTAGTACTAAAAACCTCTGCTGTTACTGTATCGTTTTAAAAAGTCAACTTCATTTTTTTAATTGACTATGAATAAACGATCGAAACTTTCTAATAAACTAATAGTGAATAAGTATTTTTAAAAAAATATTGAACACTGAATTCAGAAGAAAAAGACTTCAAAAAATTTTAAGAACTTATACTTTTTTATGTACTCAAAATCATAAAAAAAAACTCATAACAAAATTTACTCTAGCCAAGAGTTATTGCTAAAATCGTGTGGCAATAACAATGCGACTTAAAAATATAAAATAACCAACTATAATTACCAAAAATCAAATATTTTACACAACTCTCCATTTCATTCTTAAATATCGGGTTGGAATTAAACATTCAATGTTTTTCAATAACTTTTCTCCTCCCAATGTTATTAAAGCCACAATTTCAGATAGATTTGGTGCGGCAATAAACAGAAAATCTATATAGTTACCAATGGGTTTTCTTCTTGTATTTAAGGAATTCTACTCTTGCATACTTTTTCATTTTTGAAGAGCATGATGAATTTGTATACAATCGTGTTGTACTGATCTTGCAAATTATTTCGATATTAAAAATCATAGGAATTTTAATAAGTCCATTTAAAAGCAATTTTTTTTATAATATTCTATTGGAGGCTCCACACCCTGCTCGCACCATTCTCCAACCCCCATAATTGTTTTTCACATTCTTCGTTTATTTCTTCTTAAACGTAAATATTTTCCACAAAAACACTGAGCGATATACCTTTAAAATATACAACTATTGTAGCTTTATGTAATAACATTTTGTTAATGTGTTATTCGTATCGAAATTGACGAATACCTAGATTTATCAGTACTTAAAAAATAAAATAAAAACTATCCTAAGAAATACAGATTGAGAAACTCAATAAGAATAAATAAATGTTTAGTAATTTCATTCGTGTAAGATACTTATAACAATTCAAATAGGGAACAGATTTTTTTTATTTTTAATTTCACGATTAATGTAATCTCTCTCAATCATCTTTTGCTACTTCTGACATACATCTACTCAAGCTTATGAAATAAAGATCTCATGAGAGAAAAATAAATTTTCTATAATAATAGATATATAGTCAATACTTAAGGCAAGCAAAAAGGCTGAAAAAACTTAAGAAAAAGCACTTAAATTTAAAAAAGCACACAAATTCATACAAATAAAAATTAAAGAAAAAAAAACTTTATAATTCGACGATTATAACGTTTTTAACATGTCATGATGTATAATCACGTCAAATTTTCCCCTTCAGATTGCATTTCAGGTGACAGTAGATCGAGCCGTAAATTTGTTTTTTGTTTTAATTACAAGTGTTAAGCAGTTCTGAAACTTACTGTCAAATCTGAAATTCCTTCGTACTGCTTATACTTTTCGTTTTTCTACACACCCACTTAAATTAAAGATTCTAAGTTTTATAGATTTTAAGCAGCGGAAAAAAAAGTAACGTAAAAAAGAGAAATAAATTAAATTAGAGAAATTAATTAACTTTAATTTGAAATAAATTTCAAGCGAATTGGAATTTTAAAAAAAAACTGTTTTAAGTTCATTAACAAAGAAGGCCCTTTCAACATGCTAAATTCCAACTTTGTAGTTGCATTCCTGCGCCCTGTAAACTGGGCCTTGAACAGTAATTTTTTCCCAACAAGTTTCTAATTTGATAATTCTTGAACAAATAATCCATTGTTGTATTTTTTAATTCCATTGTAATCACTGTACACTTTTCTACACACCCTAGTAATTTGAAGTTTTTAAGTCTTAGAGTTTTTTGGGCAGCAAAACAAAATATAACATTAAGTTTTTCAATATACAGAGATTTTTTTAAACAAAGCTGAAGTTTAATCAGCCATGACTCTATTAATTTTAACATGTCTATAAATTGAACTAAATATTTTTTTAAATATTATATATATTACTATTTACATTTTTCAATTTAATTATACAACACAAAAATGGATCTCTTTTGTTTTTCTTTTATCAAAGAATCCAAATTAATGAATAAAACTAACAAATGAAGAGGAACTCAGTAATAAAAGGCAATCAAGATATGTATCAGAATATTTTTATTTTTCATAACTTATGAACATTCTTTTTAGCGGCATTTTCTTGCAGACAAACATTACAAAGAGTTGGAAAATCGTTCAATATGTATTAAAGAAATTTTAGTAATTATTGGAGATCTCATCGACATTGAAACAACCTCAAATCAGCACAATGCCTTTGTCTATTTTTCAATATCAATATTTTAGGTATTCTTTTTCTTCCCTTTAAAATATTTACTTGCCTTTTTTTTAATAATACAAAATTAAATTATATAAGATACATAACTATAGTTAAATTATATGTCTTTCTTCTTAATTTTATTTAAAACCAATAATAAAGTGGCAGAGAAATAATCATTATGTAACCAAATGAATTTAACATTTGGCCATCATTTAAAAAATTCTGAACCTAATTATCAAGTATTTTATATAGCCATCATTTAAAAAATTCTGAACCTAATTATCAAGTATTTTATATAGAAGACTAAGTTTAATATGAATTATTTAAGTGTCGTGGTGGTTAAAACTATTTAAACTGAATCTAAAAACATAAATTGTGCTACCACATTAAATATGATTGGAAAATATCCGGTTAAACTTTGGAGAAGTTGCAGATTCGAAAATGACTTGGGATGAATTAGTATAGCTCAGTGTCTCTAAAATTCCCCCGTTGGCCCCCGTCTTTGTTTGGGATAAATGAATAAAATGATTAAATCAAAATGCCATCATGAATATGATAGCTGATGTATTGTGTAAAACAGAAGGAAGAAATAAGGACAAAAACAATACCTAGAAAATCTAAATAACAGAATTAATGAAGAACAAAGAAATTTAAAAGTTTTAAACCAGTTAATTGCAAATAAAGAGATAACCAAAGCTAAACTTGTTTAGTAAAATAAAGATGAGAAAAATTTAAAAGATAACATCAGTCTGTGGATCAATCCTTCAGAACTGAAACAAATAGAAAGTTGTATATCAACAATACATGTGTGAAAAGCAGTGCTATTATTCACTAGAAGAAGAAAGGGGACAAAACAATTGATTACACTTAACAGAATTCTTTAATGAAGAATTGATGCTACTCACATCTTTTCAAATGGTTATTAAAATCTCAGAACCTCAATAGAAAGAAAAGACAAATTTTAATGCCAGAAACTATGAAGATTAAAACTATAGAGGATTCATTCAATCAACTTATCCCAAGGAACCAAACAGATGTATAAGGTGTAAATTTTTAATAAACTTATATAAATAAGATTCACCTAAATATAAAGGAAAGGAAAACCCTGATAAAAATGAAAAGTCAGATTAATCACTTCCATTCTGGTAGAAGTCAAAACTGAAAGGCACTGAAAAAGATACACTTTCCAATGACTGTGGGTTTCTGATTTTGGCTTTATGTATCTAGGAAGATAGGCTTTATGTATCTAGGATATAAACAGATGCAGGAAGAGTGACAATAAACACTGGAATTAACACAATGTTTTTTTAATTAAAAAAAAAAAAGGATTGAGCATTTGTAAAATTACATCACTTTTTTACCATTACATATTATACAAGGTGTTCTGTAATCTTGCTATTTCTTTTTCAAAAATTTTGCACATCAAGAGTCATAAACTAATATTTAAGCAAGAAAAAAAATACTAACACATTTAAACGAATCATTTTTGAGGTAAATGGGATTCAAAATATCAAAACAAGTTTTACTGCTGGATGAAACAAACTTGAAAATGTTTCTAATAATTGCTTTTCAAATCCTTTCTATTTCTTAAAGGCAAACAGGTTTTTATTCCTTCCTACCTTGCTAATCAAGCAAATAAAAATTTCTTTAAATTTTGATAAAATTTAAATTTTTTCTTCACTTACATCGCTAATGTGAATAGTTCATTTTACTTTATATTTGACAGGGATACAAAAATAAAATTAATAGTGATAATGCAAAAAAAAAAAACTATATTTCACAAGCTACTACAAATTAGTTTAAGTTAAACTAATGCATTAAAACTTTTAGTCAGAAAAATATATTTCTTCATATTAGAATAGAAATTGGTACTGTTTGATAATGAAGAAAAGCATATTAAAAAAACAAAATAAAAATACATTGGCAATGAAAACACAAATTAGATTGGATGCAAAATATGTATTTCGGGACAATATCTCATAATAAATGTCATTTTTTAAAAGGAATTTTCTGCTAAGACATGGAACTGTATTGCATTTAAATTGAAAAATATTACTGGTGTAATCCATATTCCACGATGTTGCAGTTTTCCTAGTAGTTTGTTTTGATCAATTCATTCTAATCAATAAAGTAATATGAGGGTGATTCTCCAAAAACTTGACCTCTTCAAATTACAAATTTTTAAAAACTAAAAGTACTTTAAAAAAAAAAAATCTAAAAAATTCATATGTGCTCTATATACGGCAGTTAACAAGAAAAAAAATAATAAAAGGAACTCACTTAATTGATGACATTTGATGTTTAATGACAATGTAGGAGTAATCAGCTTTATAATACTAGAATATAATCATTCGAATTAAGAATATACCTTGAATAAATTTGCAATCAATCATTTAATTGATGATATTGGCTGATAAGTCAATAATTTAATTTAAAAAATGCAGGAGAGTATTTTTTTTTTAGAAAAAATCAGGTTCTATTTATAAGAAACTTTTTCTATAGACTCACCACATTATTACACATTGTAATAGGTAATTTTTTAAAAAAATATTATGTATAATAAAGCTGTTGTACACAGGAGAATAGCAGCAGAAACAGTTACACACTTTAGTATAGAACTTTAAAGCTATGATAAGAACATCAGGTGAATCAGATCTTCAAAGCACTCCATCAATTCAGCAGAATGGTGGTAATAAATATATAGTGTTGCAGGCACAAGACTAAAAATTTAAAAAAATTTCTGGGCCAGGAGACATACATGAAAATCTTTGGGCAAACTTTCAAATCAACTCGGTGAGTTAAAAAATTAAACGAATTAAAAATATATATATATTATTTTACATCTTCAAAAATATAATATGTTAATACTACTTTAATAAATGAAATGTTTAATAAGTTTTAAAAAAATTTTTAGACAGGAGAGGAGAGCAACTGCTAGATAATTTTAAAAACTTTTTAAGGAATTTGTAAATGAATAAACTTTTTTATCTGCACGAAACCGCATGGGAAAAACAATGTATTAAAAGTATAAAAAACAAAAGCTATCTACCTCAAGCTAATTGTGTGATAATTTGTTTGGACATGATATTGTTATGTTTTTGGAGAAACACCCATGTAGTAAACATTTAAAAATTCTTACTAAATTAGACAATTGTAGTATAAGCAAATGAATTCTAAATAAAAAAGACAAGAGAAAAAATAAAATTTTAATGAACTCCTAAACTTTTTGAAGTAAATACAAGAACATTTAGTAAATATTAAAATTTTATTACATTCACAGTTAATTGCTGACTGTGTAATGTTACATTTTGTTTAAATAACCAATTTTGTAAAGAAAATACTTTTTATATATTTTATATACACATATATATACACTTTTTAAATTAATTCTAATATTTTTATTTAATCCTAATATTTTTATGTAATTCTAATATTTTTATTTCATCTAAACAGGACAGAAATCTTAAATGATGTTAAACGACCATACCAATGATGAACTTATGTGTTATATTTAGTAAAACATAAACATTTGATGATGCAAAAGAATCATCAATAGAAACTTCCAAATTGAAATAACCAATTGGATCAACAACAGCAAAAATGTTGGATCAAAAATCTAAAGCTCTCAATTCTTCAATCTATTTTTTTTAAAAATCAGTGTTTGTCTTCTTAGAAAATAGGCTGTTCTGAACATACACAACAATCAGGAATATCAGGGCAAAAAAGCTAGAAATTAGAATAAAATATTTTTTATCTTGAAAATCAGTAAAACTACAAATCCCGCTGTGTCATGATAGTTTTGTCCAAAGAATACATCAGAAGTAGAAGGATGAACATAAAAAAGACTCGCTCAAAGTAAGAAATCAGAGATGATTGAGATAGACAATTTAGATATCAATAGGTCGATTACAAGAGTTTTAAGTATTGGAGTAGGGAGGATCATGTTCTCAGAGAAAATTACACAAGAATACACAAAAAGTAAATTTAAGATTATGTTTACATTGAATCCGAAGTCCTGATCAGCTAAGAAAGCATTTTTTTTTTTTAACTATGTAGAGATATATTGTTTTTTTCTTCTTTTCTCTCTCTCCAGAATTAGAGAGTTCGAAATTGCCAGGATTAGAAGAGAAGCAGTAGGAGAAAATATCAGCAAGTAGATGCATGAAGTAAGGGTAGACATAACAAAGGCACAGTGCCTTCATAGGGGAAAACCTTTTTAGGAATGAACTTGTTCTTTCAGGAGGAGTTTGTACAAAATATTTAAAGATGAACAGGCTATCATCTGCATTGTTATAGCTTTTAATTAAATATTATTTAAGTTTATTTAAATTTGGATTATATATAGATTGGAGATGCATATTAATAAAATATAATAATACTATCCTAAGTTTTAAAAAAGCAGATAAATTTAATAGAAATACAATTATAATATTACCATGCAATTAAATTTTTATAAAATTTCTTGAATAGGGTGAATAGAATTTTTACTTAACTTTATTAGAGGAAAAAATATATATTAAACAATAAATTAATTGAATATCAGCAATACTTACCAAACTTACTTAATTTGTTTACTTTAGTTTCAAACTTAAGATAACTGCATCAAACACTATAAGAGGAAAAAACAAAGGTCATAAATTGTAGATTAGATACTTTCAAAATTTTATAAACATCTTAATTCAAAAAACCATGCTTACTTTTTTCCTTATTTTTAAGAGAACTTAATAAAAAAGGAAAAAAATATTTAAATCATTATATATCTTTCAGATACAATAAATATTTTATAAAAATATCAAACAGATAAAACTATACATAATATTAAATAATTAAAATAATAGTAAATTTAGATTTTTTAAAACATTAAAAACAAATTGCATTTTTTAATTTTGCGAAATGTCAAAAAAAGAACAACATTACAGAAAATGCTAAAATATCATATCTAGTTGATTTGAAATAATATCATCACAAGTTGAAAAATAATTTTACTTAATTTAAAAAAAATATTTCAGTAAGATTAAGTAATGTAACAGATTAACTTTAGATTTTCACACAACAATGAAAAATATGTGCAAAATATTTAATTAAGAAATGAAAGTTTAACATTAAGTCCTCTCCATATAGCAGTAAAAATAAGAACAAAAAGTAGGAAAATATGTTTCCATTTTAACAGTTTGGTAAAGAAGGAAATATAATTTATTAATAGGATAACACTATGAAATAACTAACAAAGGATTAGCAACTGTTTCCCACTATGGCTTGTGGCTTAACATTTTGCGCTTGCCACTTAATGTAGAAAGAAAGGAATGAATTTTAAAAAAAAATTTTTTTTTCATAAATCAAATAAAAAATAATACTTGTTAAACTACACAGTTGAAAAATGTAAAGGCTGAATTTAATGTAATATATATATATAATATATATAGAGGGCCTGTGCTAAGGATTTCAAATTAATTATTAGCCAGTAAATTAGCCAAATATTAAAAATATTCGCCAATTTTCAAAAGTGCTTGCCAAATGCAAATCTTAGCATTTTTTTATGATTAATTTTTTCCCCATAGAAAACTATTTTACCATAAGGCTTCAGGCTTATATTATTTGGACCCAATTCTAATTGGTTATGTGGTGCATTAAAAATACCGATTTTGTTTAGAAAAATTCATTTTGACGTAATTTTGAGGATCGAGTTAAATATATATTTTTCTTTCCAGTAGAAAAAATCACTCTCCAACACTTTTGCAAAAACACAACTTCCTTCGCCAAATTTACGATTTTATTGCATTTGGCTAGGTGGCAAAGGCTTAGCAAGGGCCCTGAATATATATATATCTTTAAAAAGGAGTAAAAAAATTATCTAGATTTTGCATACTAGAAAGAAGTACTTTTTTTTGGAACATTTTTTTGGAAAATAGAGATTTCTAGGGGAAAGACATTTCATTTAATACACTATAAAAAATTTATCCTTCACCTAACGGATTCCAGATTAATATTACAACCACTTAAGAGATTACAAAATAAATAAAAACATATTTCGTGAATTTTGGATGAACCATATAGAATAAAAATTTCGACTATAATTATGTTTACTTATGCAATACAAGAATAAAATTTAAATTATTCAGAAACCATCAACATTGATACCATTTAATGCATTAACATCAAGAGAAGGAAATATATTGAATAATATCCAAAGGAAAATAAACTTTCATAAACGAATTTAATAAGATTTAAATAAAATTACAACTCACAAAGAATACATGAATGATGTTGCAACAGGAAAAATAGTTGTGAAAAGTTTAATACAGAAACAATAAAGAGAAAAAAAATTGTATGATTATGGCACTTTTACGGATTACTGACAAAAACACTAGAGCATTGATACTAGTATCAACTGACTTCTGGCTATAGTAGTACCATTACCTTCACTGTCCTCTACTTCCAGTACTAAGGTCATTTTATCAAATGCCCGACAGAAGATAAGGATGTTGAATCCAATGAAGTGTCCCTCTTAAAACAATCTATCCATCTTTTACAATAAATATACATTTTTATACAGGTGACTGTATTCTTTTCCTGTGAATGTATAATGCTACAAGATATTTGAACATTATTAATCTACAAAATTGAAAAAAAGTTTAAGTAGTACCTCTTGGAATCCATGTAACCTGCCCTTTTCAATATTGCTTCACCTAAGTAGGTCTTCAATTTGTAAAAAGGAAATTGGATATTCGTCAGACTTTAGAAGCTTGAAAAATGGAAAAACTGATCATTTCTCTAAACTTGATGTTAAAGTAGATCTGGATACCAGCAAGCTGTACATGTATCTTCAGGAAAGCAATCTATAATAATAGTTTTCTATAAAAAATACAAGTCAACATCACCATCTTCGGATTAGCGAACTCTGAAATGGAAAGACAGCATCTTAACATCAATAATTTTGATGCCCAAATTCTTCGTAGTGCGAGCAGGATATGCAGCTGTTCTTTTTATTAGGATACTTCTTCAATCATTAATATTTTTCCTTGTAAAAGTTGGCGAATCATTCTTCTGATTTTATGCGCAATTCTTATTCATGAAGATTTTTCAGAATCAGATTATTTTTAAACACTTAAGTGTAACCCAACAGGAAATTTTTTTTTTTTTTTTAATATGCAGGTTACTCTAACAAAGTAGACTCCTTTTAGGTTAAAAAAATGTGCAAGTAATAAATTTCCAGTCACATGAAATTTAATTGTATATAGTTACTAAAAAATGTATTTATCTTATAATTTATGCTTCTATCATAATATTTAATTAAAATATTGTCAACTTCATTCCTTGTACTGTCTAAAATTTTAAGATTGTTATATTTAACTTATAGCAAGAAAAAAAAACTTTTTTAATTTACCTTTTTATTCCCAGACATATTAAAAATTTGAACTTTTTGAGTTCCACCTGTTTTTTTTAAAAAATAGCTAATTTTAAAAAGTAAAAACCCTTATTTTTCTCTATTTTTCCATAATAAAAGTCTTTTTTTTAGTTACAACTTAAAATAATAAATTATAGGTAAAAATACAAATGGAACATGATAGTTCCTAATACATAAATAACTCAAGCCCATTTAACCACAAAGATCTTTTTTATTAATCAGAAAATCAACCACCTAAAGGACTAACATTTCACAAAAAGAGTGAATAAAATTTGCAAGCAAATCAAGAAAAATTAGATAGATAAATTTATTGTATTCTTTCAAAACAAATTAAAAGATTTTGAATGCATCTTTTTAATTTAATGAACCTAAAAAGGACTTCATGCCAACTTTAGAAAAATACAATTTTTATTAACAATTTGAAGTAATCCAAATTTTACTATCTTTTTGATCATAGATCAAGACCAAGGGTAAAAATCTAAGAACTATCACCCTTTCTACATTTAATGTGCAGCAACATCAATAGAAATAGAGTTTAGTTTAAAAAATTTAGCATTTAAAATTAATAATTAAATTAAAATGACTCATTGTCAATGAAAGAATTTTGTTTTAAGAATATAAATTTGTTTGAAGTTTATTTTATCATTAATATTTATGGAAATAAACAAAACTTTAGTTATTAAATTCAATAGAATAGTTTTATGAGGAGATTCTAATAAATAATATTGGATTTAAGGAATAATAATGAAGATTTTTACGCAAAAAGTCATTCTAATGGGATGTCGCACTAAACGGTGTAGGCTGTAATAAATATTTAAAATGAAAAATAGTAACAAGTTAAATCTAACTCATATAAATTGAGGTAGATATCATCATGATGAATAATTTCAGAGTTAATAAAAACAAAAATTCTCACTAGCTAACATTTTTGTTCAAATTCAACAAAATTTTCACAACCGTTGAGGAGGAAAATGTTTTATTTTATGTTACTGTAACCAAATGTAAATATCTAAATGTTGCTTTCTTTAGTCTTATGGAAACTGACAATTCACGAGGGGCAAAACTTTGAAACTGCATACATTTACGATTTTCACTATCAATAGTTTGAGGTCAGCAAAAGAGATTAAACCGGTTCTGTTACTTTCCATTTGCACAAAACCTGACATCAGACGCATGGCATTATAAAAGGAACGAAAACACGTTTTTCCACAATTGGTTCACTTCTGACGACAACTCCTAATTAATCTCAAAATTTAGGTGCATGATGACTTGACTTAACTCTCCTATCGCTCCAGTGGCATATGAAGCCACAAGCAAGGCATGCCACCCCTTTCGAACCAGTGCTGCTTCCCAGACACTCCCCAAGTTCAACCATCTGAAAGCATTTCTTGCTTTTGGGATCATTTGGTAGGCAGGTTAATTTTGTTCGCCCTCTCTTCCTCTTACCATCTGGGGCCCAGGTCAGCGATATTCATGTTGAATCTGATGGTGTCATTCTCAGAATGTGTCCAACCCACGTTCAAGTTTTTTTTTTTTTTTTTTTNTAAGTTTGTTTAGATGATTTGAAGTTAGTTCTTTTTTTTTTTTTAAGGTGTGACAAGCTTTTTATGTCTTCTGTTTTTTTTCCTTCCTTTTCCCCCACCTATCCAAGCTTGTTGTCGCAATTCTTGACATTAAAAATTGTGATTTTTTTCAGATTAGTGATGTAAAAAGACTTATTATTAGCATTTTTTAAGGCTTCGTGCGCTTGAGATGTCGGGGAAAATTTCAAACAGCCCAATTACTCCATTCATGTTACATCGAGAGCACAATTCAATGACTTCTTTACCAGTGTTGGTTTGAAAAGTTTGCAGTAAAGAAAACTAAGGTTTTCTCCCCTCTGCTGCCTTTTTTCATCAAAGGAAATAGCTGCCTTATAGTAGAATAAAAGACAAGATAAAATGGACCATGGTCAAACAGAAATAGATGGCTAGAAGCTTTTGTGATATCAAGTAATATTCTAATTCTATTAGCTAAGCCTGGTGGTAATGCTAATTAAAATGCAACTCCTTCTTCTGATATAAAGCTGTGTGTAGCATAACAAGAATCAGGTTAATCCGGAATTTAAGATCTTGCATGCATACACATCAAGATACACGTGAATCTGACATAACTGGAGATCCTATAGTTGATGTGGAAGTTAATATAATACCTGTTTAGGTATA